TGACATTTTCTTGCAAAGGGCAGATAGGGAGAATCATAAGAGATGCAAATTAAGAAAAGAGGCCAAGCCAGCACTGAGCCCTCCTGTTGCAGATGAGAGGTGTGACATTAAAGACACATCAGGGTAGCATGATCAAAGGTTTGGGAGATAACAAGGGAAATCTTTGTAGGGTCGTTAAATTAGAGACTTCTCTTGATGACATTGCAGTGGTTTCTCTTTTTTTCAGGAGAGAGTTGATCAGAAACCCAACTTTGTTATGGGATGGATAGGAGGTGGTTGAAAGGAGACAATGCAGTTTGGATAGAAGCCAGAGGATGTCAGGGAAGTATCTTTATATCTAATTGGCCCTCATATCAGAAAAAGGATTAATTAGGTGTCAGACACTTTTTGCTGAAAGAGGAGAAGAGGGAGATCAAGGAAATGAAAAAGGAACATACCTGTGGTGAGAAACATCCTAGAATTCAGAGTGGGTTAACCAATAAACATAAAACTTACTTTTGCTGTTTGGAATCTTACCAAACGCAATAACTGATAAGCTAAATGCATTTGATGAATTTACCCAAGGGGGATAATAAAATACAAAGTGAACATTTTTACATACATTGGTGGAAATAAGTCTTCAACACATTAAACATATTTCCAGTGCAGTTATTCACATAGAATTTACACCAGACATTGATATTAACATTGATACTTACTGATATGGATCTGTTTGGAGACCAATAACCAGGAAATCAAATATTTAGATAAAAGTCATCAGTAAGCATCACGTAATGTGTGTTTCTTAATCTGGTGGAAGGATTTTTTAGTCAAAGTTGGAACCACAAAGATATGATGGGTTTTAGTGTGATTTGCCATGCCCGCCCCATTGACTCCAATAGAACTGACACTGAGGTCTGGCTCTTCAAATGCTGTCACTGAAATCATGATCTTTCCTTCTTTTATATTTTCCTTGGTGGATGGCAACAGATTCTTCTCAAGAAATTCCTAGTACATGGCTCCATCTTAATATTTGCAGGAAAGTTAGATTTCTGTGTCTCCTGGCCACATTATGGGCAACAATGTGACATGTCATGTTTGGAGAAGAAATGCTTCTGCATCTGACCTTAAAAATACCACACCTATGGTGAAGTTTGGAGGTGGAAGCATCATGGTATGGGGCTGTTTCTCTTCTCCTGGTACCAGAGACCAAACTATCAAAGGGATGTTGAGTGGAGCCATGTAGCGGAAAATTCTTGAGAAGAATCTGTTGCCATCCACCGGGACAGTGAGGTTGAGATGCAGGTGGACCTTCCAGCAGGACAAAGATCCAAAACATACAGCAAAGAAGACTCAGCTGGTTCCAGAGAACGAAAATAAAGGTGTTTGAATGGCCCAGTCAATCAGCAGTCTTAAACCTGATAGAACATTTGTGGAAGAAGCTGAAGCTCAAGATTCACCAGCAGTTCCCCCAGAGTCCTTTAGATTTAAAGACTGTCTGAACAATGTTCCCCAATCTAAACACTGTGAGAGATTAATTTCTTCATACAGGGAGCATCTTAATAAGCTGCATTGCAAACAAAAGCTCCTCCAACAAATATTAAATAGATTGTTTAAGACTTTTTCCCGGTGTTTTTCCACTTTATTGCACATTGCTTTCTTAATGGATTGTAATGATATGATTTCTTTATTTTTATAGTTTTATTGAGTGAATATTAATGTCTGATGTAAATGTCATGAGAATAGCTGCTTTGGAAATGTATTAAATGAAAAAAATGTTGACGTGTTGAATACTTATTTCCTATAAGCTATATCAAAATGTAGGAGCCCAGTTTTGATATGGAAGTATCAAATAAATTTAGTATCACTAACCCGTGTGGAAACGAAGGTGAATAATATAATCAGTGTAATGTAATTAAGATTGTGTACTTTAGTAATGTATTTAAGTAGCCTACAATTTTGAGGTATTTGTACTTTACTCGAGTATTTCCATTTTATGCTATTTTAGTCATCTACCCCACTACTTTTTAGATGTAAATATTGTACTTTTTACTCCACTACATTTATTTAACTTTAATCACTCGTTACTTAGTTTAATAATATTTTGTATCAATAATCTAAATTTGCAAATAGGTCATAATATATTGCTCTAGGCTAACCCCCAAGCAGTTTATGGAGTAAATAAAATTAACTCCACGTCTACCAGCTGCAACATTTAAGTGATGAGTAGATTTATGCATCAATAATTATAATCCAATAATATAATAGTATGTATTTTTCTAAAATGGGCCATTCTGCATAATAAGTACTTTTACTTTTGGTACTTTTAGTATATTTTGATGCTAACACTTTTGTACTTTTACTTAAAGGTCCCATATTCTGATCATATTCAGGTTCATTCTTCTATTTTGGGTTTCTACTACAACATGTTTACATACTTTAATGTTCAGAGACTACATTATTTTTCTCATACTGTCTGCTTGAATAAACCTGTAATCATCCTCTGTCAGGCTCGGACTGCACATAGGGAGAACCGGGACTATTCTCGAAGCGCCGGACTGTGATCGGACTGCTGGCCTGCCTGTCATTTTTTTCCCAACAGGCAGGCCAGGCCAATGCAATCAGAGGCCAGCGCGTGATGCGAGGAGAGGGATGAGGCGTGTGAGGTTGAGCCACTTGTCAGTTGTCAAAAGACAGGACGTGACTGGTTTGTTTCAATTTACACCTGCCCCAACAGTCCTACGTTGTAAACACAGCCAGCATGGTGAGGAGGGGGTTTGTCAACTCGCATCTTGTGTGTCTGTGTAGGAGCCCACTGGCGCTGAGACGTAAGGGAAAGTGGTCTAGTTAATTTCAATGGATCCCAACCCAAATCTGGGGAAAAAAAGAGAAAAGGTGGTGCAGAAAGAGAGAGTGACAAAAAAAGAAAGGCACGCGAGGACGACGGGGCCAAATGCCTAAAATTGCCAGATTTATTCAGGACCCCCATCATGGTAAAAACACACGATGCTTCTGCAAGTTACCTATAAAACATGCAGGTCCAGTGACCCCCAGGGGTCCTTGAGGCCAGATTGATGAATGGACCCTATCAGAGAGAGTTAAATTAACACTGAGGATTGGATTTTACAATTACAGTGTAGAAATGTAGGCCCTTGAAATTCAAAAGTTTTGAAGTTAAAATTAAAAAAGGATTGAGATTTGAAAATCAAGGACCTACTAGCCACATTTTCACTACTTTTGAGATGATTTATTTGTGCAACAAATGGGATATAATCATTTCTTTTTTCTATATGAATACAAGGGCAAATCAAGTAAGAAATTCACTGTTATACTGTATAAAGTATAAACTATAGTGTATGCAAAAAAACTATAATTCTATGTTTGCTATGTAAAGGTGGAGGAAGTGTTGGTACCAGTCCTGCTGATGCTTCAGAAGGAGAGGCCAGTGCAGGGCAATTGGCAGAAGGTACAGAAAAATGTCAAAACCCCCTACAGTAGGGCATGTCATTGGTGGTACATAAACTTGAGTTATTTGCATATTCCTTGGGATTACATTACATGAATGCTATTTATTCATTCATTATTATTAATCACCAGCCTGTAACAAGTTGCAGACACATGAACACCAGGCACTGGCAATTGACATAAATGGCTCTCTCATGTAGTTGTAATAATAGCCTTCTACAGCTTTATTCTATAAAGTGTAAGTGAATTTTTCTGTCTGTTGCCTTACTGTTATGTACCCCAGCCCAAACATAAAAGCCATTGTATATTCCAACCTTGGATTTAGGTTGGGGTTCACTAGGGTTCCCCCTCACAGTTGATTAATTGTTTGGTTTGGACATAGTTGGCTTCATGGATTAGGCTATATTGTACTTTATGAGATAGCTGTGCAATATAGCCTACAATATTGTATATTGTAGGCTATATTGCACAGATTTGCAAACCTGTACCTATGAGAAATGAAACATATTGACTTTTATCTATAATCAAAGGAACTTTTTGACTTAAACTGTCAGTGTGCTTAGCTGGTTGTGTTGTATTTTTTTGTTCCTGCAGCTGTATGCTTGTTTTGGTTAGTGTGATATCTGATGTTTTGGTTCACTACTTGGAATGTGTTATACGTGTCTGTCTGCACGTGTGTCTGCGTGTGCTTGTAACAAGCTGCAGGCTTGTTAACATAATATATTATAAGACAAACGGCAGTTGATATTCTGCATGACTCTTCTTATGTATAGCTGTAATCTTGGCACTACTTGTTATGTAAAAGCTTTATTCTCTATTAAAACCATTTCCTCGGCACTTCGTAAACATCCTTCTATACCCTACCCATGCATCCTCCCTGGACCCTGTAGTTGTTCCTGGACAAAGTCAATGACACGGCCTAAATCTGCATAGTCCCTCCGTCGACTAAGCCTGTTGTCCTTAAGTATGCGCAGCAAATAATTCCTGCTGATAACAATCCCATATCTACCTGCAAGAGCAGCAAGAATTTCACTGTAAGACATTCCAAGATGAAAATAAAACTTGATTAGCTCAGTTCTCTTCATTATATGCTGGCTGTGTGCATCGGAAGTCATTAGAGATGCATATGAGTTCATAGTAAATGATCTTGTGCGCACAAGATAAAAAAATACCACCTTTTGGGACTTTAGGGGCTCTGTATTTATCCAAGTAAAATATAAATGTATATAAATATAAAAATATCCACCAGTGAAAATTGTATATAGCCTAATAATATGTAACATTCTGTCTCCATATCAAACACCAGCACGAATACCTTCAACGAGATAAAAACAATTTAACAATATTCATTCACTTTTACAATAAAGCATTATAGGAGCGCGTGCATCTATGGGGCCATAATATGTTGTACAAATGCTAAAACGCATTACTTGGAAACAATGACCTGAAGTTACAGCTGACTGCTTGGCGCAGCCTATTGGTTTCACTTTATTGAAACGCGTTTTGTAATTCCTAGACTTCAGGTAAGGCCACCGTACTACGTTGTGTATGACGTCACGAGCAAAAACAAGGACCACAAGCGCTAGCTCAGTTAGATGCTTAGTGCACACGAATTTGCTTTGCTGAACAGTCGTTACCCGCTGAATCCTTAAACACCGGTTTAAATAGATTAATACGCCAGGCTCGACTATGGTTACTATAATTCGTGGCTGTGTACGGTTCGTTGACGGTTTGACGCCCTTAAATGTGCTTAGCATACCAATGCTAACGTTAAGCTAAGGAGTAATATTAGCTGGCCAGGTGACAACTTCAATTGACATGAAGGCAGCTTGTGTCAATAAATAGGTCGCTGTGCGTCGGTAGTCCAGCCCTTTAATGTTAATAAATGAATGAATAGCTGTTTATTACCTGAAATACCCACAACAGCAACAACAACAACAACAACAAGCGGATGTATAGTTGGATAATGGTGTAACGTTAACGTTACAGCCTAACAACCTGTGGTCGCGTTAGCATTTTAAGTCGGACTCCTTGTCCCCCTTTGTTACTTTGATTTTATTTTCACGAACACAAGGAATTCATTTTTAAAACCCGCGACCCTGACTGACCATCATGTCGGACCTGGACACCCTCATTGTAACTTTCCAGACCCAGCTCTCGGATGTGATGGAGACAGTGGTAAAGACAGCCATGTATGAGGTGACCAGGTTGGTGGAGGACGGATTCCTGGAGGAGGTTCAGCGCAGGAACCAGGAGGTGGAGTCCCTGAGGAGGCAGCTGCAATGGGCCGAGAAAAAATTAAGTGACAAAGGGGGGAGAGAAGGAGGAAAAACTGGGAGGTGTGTGGACTGTGCCAAGGATGATGTGGATCTGTCCAGTGACACTGTAGAAGACAGGCCCAAAGAACAGCAAGATGGTAAGAACAAACAGAAGGATCATTAATATAGCGACACAAACACTCTGTATTATGTTATGCTACTTGAGCACTATTTTTTTCCAGACATTTTGGGGGTCTGTGGAGTGAAACAAGAGGGTGACTCTGTGGAAAAGTGGGCTATAAGTCGCACACAAGAATACATACCAGAGTCAACTCAGGCAGCAGACAATCCCACATCCACTCACAGCCCTGAGAGGGAATCACAGGAATGTCTCAGAGCAGAGGTACTCTCAGTGTTGTTGTGAGAGGCTGTATGCATATTTTTTTCCTAATAGGAACATTCTGCACAGAGCATTCAACTAATAAATCAAAATGTAACCATATTCTCTGATGTCTTCTCTGTGATATTCAGACACCAGAAGATGATGTAATGTCAGCGTTGAATGTCAAGGAAGAAGTGAATAAGTCGTCTTTTTCTTCTGCGCATTGGAGTGATACCCTCGATGGTGAGTATTGTGTCAACAATTAACAACATATTAAGTTTGGGAAAAAATATATCTTTATCTCTCTCTGTCTTTATATATGTATATATGCATTCTGGATAGAGACCTCAGATGTTGTACCTGGAATCTGCTGGAGCCACTCTCCCCGTTTGTGTGTCACAGCCCTGAGTGCTCCGATTACTACTGGCACCACTGTTGCCTTTACTACCCACTTCTTTTCTAGCTCCTCTTTCAGCCCTTGGTACTTTTCAAGGTTCTTGTGTTTCTTCTTTCTTATGTTGCTGTTGCACATGACAACCCACACCAGGAAGTCAACAAAAGCACATGGCAACTTCACCCTTGTCTAGATAAGGATCTCATAATTACAAGATCTTATGTCATTATTATGAGATAAGTTGTCAGTTTTTTTTTAATGTCAGTGAATGCATTGCGCTTCTGTAAAAATATACAACCTTTCTTATTTTCTGTAGTAAATGCAATTAGTTTATCAATCCTTTGAAACAGGCTGATTAAAAAATTAAATAAAATCAGTGAAAATAAAATATTTACTTTTTAGGCTCTGGACAAGGAGTGTCTCGATAATCCAAAATAGACGATAACCGTGATATTTAAAATTATACAACAGTTAGTTCTGACCGAGTAATTTGATTGGACGAGAGGCATTCCGTGAGTGCTGATATAGAGTATAACATCACTGGGACTTGTAACAGTAAAATCACTCCACTCACAGGTGTTATAAATATAAATACAACCGTTAATTAACCAACTGTCACACTCGCTACATTGACGCAAACTGACACTATAGCGTTACACCAAGATGGATGTTTTCCCCAAAATTACATTTGAATTAAATTATGAGTGGTCGTCAGGAGAGGACGAGGAAAAGGAAAGCCAGGACTCTTCTGTGCAGACCTCCAGGTGTGTTTGTGTAACATCAGTCGACCTTGACAAACTGGAGAGGAGCAAAAATTAAGCGAACACGGTCAGGAATTATCAATGATCATCTGATGAGGTATTGATGAGGATGAGGGAGAGTGGAAGCTAAATCCGGCCGTGCCAACATCCAGGTTTGCCAACGTTTCATCAGCCGAACTGGACGAAGTTACACAGCTGCAGATCAATGTAAATACTAAGTAGGCTAGCTTGTGAGTTCCTGGCGTGTGTGCTGTGTTGCCTGGCAACAGACAGGTGGAACTGTTTTTTTTTTTTCCGCGGAGCTACATAACATACTTAAATAATTTATTTCATCACCTTTTGTTAACATTTCCTTACTCAGCATTGCTGTTTAAGCTGTTGTTGAACTGTTGTATAAAAGCAATATCACACTCGAGGTCGTGATGTTGTACTGTATATCGTCACGGCTGTGACTTGGTTGGCCTCGTGCCTACGACCAAATCACAGCCGTGACGATATACAGTACAACATCACTCCCTCTTGTGTGATTTTGCTTAAATGAAATACTGATATTATGTTAATACACATATGATAACATTGTATAAATAATTCAGCACTTAAATCGTTTCCGTTTCTTTAAGTACTCACTTTGTGTCCCTCCCTTAACACCATCTGGTTGCCTTTTTACTATCCATTAAAGGGATAGTCCAGATTTTTTGAAGTGGATTCGTATGGTGTACTTGTCTGTAGTCAGTGGACTACCTACAGTAGATGTCAGTTGGCACGCTCTCGGTTTGGAGAAGCAGGCTGGAGTCCAACACAGAAGCTAAGCAATGTACAAAAAGGAACGGGGTCATCAACAAAATGTATTTTTTAGCGTAAATATATTCTATATTGAGAGTATTTTTACTATTTTAGTTTTCCGTCAGACAGCCTCTACTGACGGAAAAGCTGTTAACTACTTCAGTTCCTCATCTGTGCTCTCGTCAAAGCCACCAGACAACACTGACAGAAACAGAAACAGAACAGAACAGAAACATTTTAGTTTGCTGAACATGGGAGCTGCTGGTCTACCACTGCTTTGATCAGTTAGTTAGTTTGTATTATTGTGTGACCTCAGTGAATTCAAACTGACACTTTTAAACAACAAGTGACGCAGTAACACAAAATAACTGTTTGAGGCAGTGGTGGACCAGCAGCTCCTGTGTTCAGCGATGTTAAATCACAGTTTTTCTCAATGGAGCCTGAAATTTGAGAGAGCCATATCAGCTTCAATTTCCATTTAGAAATTACTGTCTGACATTAAGGTGAAGCAGTGAAAATATTCTAAATATAGCATACACTTAAATGGATATTGATTTTTTTTTTTTTTTTAGGTGGCTAAAATACATTTTGTTGCTGACCCCTCTACAGCAGTACATTGTTTAGCTTCCATGTTGAACTCCAGCCTGATTGTCCAAACTGGTGGCGTGCTGACTGACATCCTCTGTATGTACTATACTGTTTATGGAGTAGTACCTCATACAACCCTTATTTCAAAAAATCTTAACTATGCCTCTAAGTGTAAATTATCTTTTTGTATGTTTTTGTACAGTTATGGTTTCATGTAATTCATTTGCCAAAACCGAGACAAAAGCACAGTAAACAAAGTTAAAGGTGAATTTGACTGATAGCATTATTTTTATGCCTCTGCGCTGGCGATAACCGTGGCCAGAGGAATTAGGTTTTCAGGTCGTCCGTCCGTCACATTCATGTAACTGTGATATCCCAAGAACACCTTGAGGGAATTTCTTAAAGCAGCTGTGCAGAACTTTACGTTTTTGTTGATTATAGCGCCCCCTTTGGTCGAAGCGGTATGACACCCACAGCCTGGTGGTGTAAAATTCCGACTGCAGCCGGCATTCGGCTTCATTCGTAAAATCTCGACTGCAACCGGCAATTACCGCATGCATTTGTTTTGGAGAGCCAGAGGAAAATCATAAATGTTCTGGTGTAGCTCTGAATTTCTTATAAACTGAGGACAACTGCCTGCTGTATATTTGTGTTCATGGTCACAGTCACAGATAATTTTGTGGCGTTTGTTGTAACGTTACTAGACAAAAGCGGTTCACATCAGCTAACGTTACATTTAGCTTGCTTATAACCAGGGCTGCCCCTGACCAAATTGGGGCCCTAAGCGAAATTTTATTTGGAGCCCCCCCCCCCAACCTCTGCCCATCCCAAATGTATCATAGGTACAAAATGACTGTACTGGTCTGGTAGTACTACTACTACTACTTATACTAATATTAACAAAAAACTACTGCTATCTATTATTACATCATTATTATCACTATTATTATTATGTACAGACTACAGTCCTAAGAAAACATACTAATTCAGGATCAAACAGACTGATATTTCAAATTTTACATTCAAGTTTAGTTCCCTCTGTCAACAAATGCATCAGTTACATACTCATTTCATCAGTATTTCTCTGTCTCCTCAAAAGCTGACTGTTATGAATTAAATTCACCAACAGATGGCGACATTTACCTCCATAAAAATAGTCCAAAACTTATATTAACAACATAAATTGATAGGCTATAAACTTTAGCCAATATATTATATATTGGCTAAAGTTTATAGCCTATCAATATATACGACCACCAACTGGTCATTTTACCACTCCTTTTCATCAGAGGTGAATGCATAGGGCGTTAACAAGACATTCAATAAATGTTAATCAGGGCCGCTGAAAAAAAAAAAAAAAAAAAATTCCAGTCTAGACAGAGACTGGAGACAGAGATTCCTATCTAATGAGTAGCAGCTTAGGTGTTTGTGCCACAAAGTTTTATTTCAACAACATACCCATCTTCAAGTGAAGCACGAGCTTCCTCTTGTTTTGCCTTTCTATGCACAGCGCGTTTAGGGAGGGGCGGCCCTGCTTATAACTTCCATATCGCCATATATTGAAGTGAAACAACGTCTAAAAAGTTGCGGTATATTCTCTAAATAAAAACAAAAATTACATACCTGTCGATTAGGAAAAGGGCCAACTCAGGATCAGTTTTAAAACCTTTCAAATTTCTCAGCTCTATCCACATGGTGAATGCCCGACCAAGGTTTACACGCATTTGGGCTCGAGCCCTATCACTGTCCCGTTTAGCCTTCTTCTGTTCTTGTGTTCTTTTTCTTTAAGATGGTGCTCCTTCTTTATCCGCCATGACATCGAAAGTACAACCAAGTCCTTATAGATACATCTGTTAAAACTGTTGTGTGTTCAGCAATGCCCATTGCGTACCGCTTACTCGAAGAACACTCTCTGTAAACACGGCTCCTTCTTCTTCTGTGGTTTAATGGCTGCGGGCCGCTGCGGGCGTGCAGACTTACTTCCGCCAACGGGTGCCATATTCTGGTTTGCTGACTTCCGCTGTGTCCGACCCGACCAAGGCTACGCTAAATAGCCATATAGAGAAAGGCCTTTTTGTCGCTGTTGGGTTCAAATAAATATGCGGATCTTCAAGGGGGGTGATACGAACTCCTCACAGCTGCTTTAAAATTTGGTGCAAATGTCCACTTGAACTCAACAATGAACTGATTAGATTTTGGTAGTCAAAAGTCACTGTGACCTCATCTGTCTCATTCTCGTGAATGCAGTATCTCAATTACACCTTAAGGGAACTTCTCCAACTATGACACAAATGTCCAATCGGAGTGAAGAATAAACTGATTAGAATTTGTTGGTCAAAGGTCAGCGTGACCTCACAAAACATGCTTTTGGCTATACCTCAAGAATTCATACGCTAATTTTGACGAAACTTCACACAAATGTCTAATAGGATAAAATAATGAAGTGATGACATTTTATATCCAAAACGTCAAAGGTCAGCTTCACTGTGACATTGTTATGTTCTGCATAAAACTTTTCTGGCCATTACTTAACGCCTTATCTTAGGAACAGGAGGGGAGAAATTTGGTCAGTTACTGAATTGGTGACACTTACCTTGAAATTGTGCTGATTGTGTAGATCTTTTGTGCTTCCAGGAGAAGATGTGCGTGAAGCATCCATGTTTTCACAGGCAAGGATATAAACTGTAAGAGAAACAGAGACATACTGTACAACCACAGGGCAATAATTCTATTTTTTTTAAAAAAAAAATCTTTAGATATTGCAATAATATGGTTATTGGGAACTCTTGTGGCCACAATAACCATGTTGTGAAAATCTGATATCATGCCAGCCCTACTTTGGACCAAAAATACAGCAACCAACTTGCTGCTCTGGTAACAGTTTGCCAGTGGAAAAAGGCAGCTGAATTCATTGATATAACCACTGTTTCCGTTCATTGTGTAGGTAAAGCAGTACCTGAATCTCACAGTGCTGCTGAGATGACTGAAGCACAACCAAATCGGGCTCAAGAGAACCGTGAGGAATTACTGAGGGATGTTATTAAGCAAGACCCACAGATCTCTGCTGCATATGTCTTTCCTGAAGACCAGAAGGAAACACACACAGCCACAGATCCATCTTTAGAGGGGGACAGTGGTTGGGCTGGCCTGACCGTCACAACAGCTGGATTGCTGCAGAATCACTGCCTTGCAGAAAAGGACTGCGATCCATCCAAAACTAGAGGTCCTCTGAGGCAAACAGAACACGAGCTGTGTAATTCTGTCACAGGAGATGTTGATGTTCTGGTTACTCCGAGTAGAGATCACATTTCATCCTCAGCGTCCCCACAGGCAAGACTGCAAAACAGTGATGCGCTGGGTGTGACCATCAAGCAGGAAGTGATTGTCGATTCTGATGGGTGTGTGGAAAACCTGCCTAAAGAAAAGAAAATAAAGTCTGCGATGGCATTTTTGTCATGTTCAGTTAAACAGCACAGGTTGAGTTCAGAAGCACTCAAGCAGAATCACATTTCCCACAAAGCCACTGTACAGGAGGTTATGAAGCTGCATTCCAAAGTTGGTACAGGTCTTAGACTGCAAGCTGCTATACAGCACCTCCACCGACCAATGAAAAAGCCCTCTCACACACTTTCCAACAGTACCACCACAACACTGTCTGTAGCTCACTCTCAGGTTGTACATTTAAATCCCCTCAACAGGACTCCGTCCACATCTAAAGCCGCGCCACCCCCTCCACTCTCAATCCAGCGAGCTCACCTTGGAGACAGACAAACCACAGCACATCACCGAACCAGTGCTCCATGGGTCAGCATCAAATCCCATCAGTCTGCAAACTCTCATCACACCAACCCCTTACCCCACCCAGACTCTCCCCCTCTTGCTGGCCCCAGGCACCTCCTGCGCTGTGGCCAATGTGGGAAGTGCTTTCCCCACCCCAGCAACCTGAAGGCCCACCTGCAGACCCACACAGGTGAGCGGCCTTTCTGCTGCTCCCTCTGTGGTCGCAGCTTCACCAAGCTGAGCAACCTCAAGGCCCACCGACGGGTCCACACCGGAGAGAGACCGTACTGCTGCTTGGCTTGTGGCAAACGCTTCACCCAGAAATGTAACCTGAAACGCCACCAGAGGATCCATCTGGATGTATGATGATGGACAGCTTGTGATAAAAGGACAAGTTTGGTGTGTTTGTTTCGTGTTGATTAGGATGCTACAGTGTCTTCCTTTGCAATGTTTGAAATTGCAAAAATTGTTTCTTGTGTACTCGTCTCTCAAAGTGATTGTCCCGAGTAATTTTTTGCATTCTAGAAAGATTCATCCAGTACCTTGTTGTAGTTATTAAAGGATGAAAAGCAGTGTATTGTGAATCATGCACAGAGATAGGTCAATTGTCAATTGGTCAATAAACATTTATTCTGTTAATACAAGTCAAATTATTCATGCCTTTGAGGAAAATCACACTCGCTGTCTCTGACTATGGATTGGGGCATGTATTTATCAGCCTGCTGAGAGTCACTTTAGACTGATGAAAGATACAAGTAAAAAGTCTTTACTTCTGCTGAAACTCACAAACCCACTTAAAGGGGAACTTCACCCATTTTTTAAAAATGTATACATCTTTTCCTGTGGTTTCGACAAAAAATATGAGTAGAAGTGAACAACTCTCTCCGAAACCCCAAAACTAGAGTGCTGTCAGTATGTGACATTAGTGAAAATGTAATTATTGAGTTAGTCTGATTAAAACCAGACTTTTTTTTGTGTGTAATGCAGTGATAACAGAGTAAGTGAAAACAGTTGTAGAGATATATAAACAGTAAGGAAAGAAGATACAAAAAGTGAGAAAGAGACCTACAATAAAAATAAGAGCAACTAAATACATCAGAACAAAATAAAACAATATAAAGCAAACAAGGAGTAGAGCACAGGCTGAAACTGATGGGCGTACAGGCGAAAACAAGTATAATGCAAAGCTGTATGAAAAGGTGTGTGTGTGTGTCTTTGTGTAGGAGTATTCGATGAGTTGATTTTTCCAGAGTGTGATGGAGATTCTGTTCCTTGTTCACCAATTCATGAGGATAGTTTTCTTGGCGATGGTTAGGGCAATGGAGAGTATTCTGCTGGATGTATTGTTGAGGTTTATGGTGGATATGTTGCCAAAGTTTGGGCTGCTGCATAGACAATAAATGAACGATGTTATAGGACAGTGGTTCCCAACTGGTCCAGCCACAAGGTCCAGATTTCTCCTTAAATCATTCGTTCAAGGTCCACACAGTTTAATATATTCGGTGTCATACTTGCATTTGGCCATGTTGTCAAGCTAGTTTGTCAAGAAGCTGTCCACTACTCACTCACTTTACAGCAGGAACAGCACTTCAGAATAGAAGGCCTTTGCCGTATATTCCCTGTACTTTAAAAGAAAGTGTGTTTTTTCGAAACTTGACACATTTGTGAATCACATGCGGTCCATTCAGAATGAACCCGCGACCCACCAGTTGGGAACCACTATTATAGATGACAGTGAGAGCACCCAGAGGATTGTTCAGAGTATATGGATACATTTCTTTGTTTTACAACTGAGAACATTATAATATAATGAAGCTCATTTGGGTATAAAACAAGAAAAACATTCTGTGGGTCCATTAAATCAATCTCCTATTTATTGTCTATGAAGCAGCTCAAGACTTTATACCCTGTGACATCACAAGTTTGAGACCTGAGGCTCGCACATAGTTTCCCCATTGAGTAGAGCTCTCGAGGTCTCTAAAGTTGGTTCAGAGTAGATTTATTTTATCTTTGTGTATTTATATCTGATAAATAAATTAGAATGCTGTGAATTGCTAATTGCCACTGTACATATTAAAGATAAAAAATATGATTTTAAAATCAAAACAAATATACAGCTTATTTAACAGGTAAACCACATGACAAAAAACAACAACAAAAAAGAAAACACACCTGCAATAGTTAATGATTGGCTCTTCTTACTCTGAGCGAAGCCAACATGTGGTTCATCTTGTGAGCTCATAAGGATTGCCCTTACAATTAACTGTGTGTAGGGGGAAGTAGCCTTATATATGTGTTTTATTCTTCACACTCAGCAAAGAACTGTTTTACTCCTGACTTGTCTCTTAACTGTAATTTTCAAAACTTTGGAAAACACAAGCCCAGGTCATGTAAATCTAGAATTTACCATAAAACATAACTTGAAGGCAGTTTTTCCTCCAGCTGAAGGTCTGTGTGGTTTGCTGTAAGACTGGTGTAAACTGAACCTTTTGAAGAATTGACAGCATGCAGATGATGCTTCATGACTGATGGCTCAATTTATATTCTGACTGATAAAAATAATTGCTGACTAACCCTCTGAGATCATATGAAACTCAAAGTCCTGAAGACATGTCATGCTAGCTTCTCAGACAGTGGGCTATTTAACACTCCACTACTAGGCTAAATGTTGGTGAGGGAAAATCTGGCATGGCCATTAGGGGTCCCTTGACCTCTTACCTCAAGATATCTGAAAGAAAATAGGTTCTATTGGTTCCCATGAGTCTCTCCTTTACAGTCATGCCCACTTTATGCTGGTGCCATGCAGTTTTTTTGCATGTAGTACAAATGTGTCATTTTTGCCTATTTTTAAAATATTTCTGCATACCGGGATGCATAAACAGTCTTTGAATTGCATAAATTGGGTCTGACTGAAAAGCTGAGACTCTAGCAGATTCAATGAGCTCAGTTTTGTTCATGTGTGATAATGTCAGTCCCCATAGCAGCTATTTTATTGCAGACATTTTTTAAATGGACAACACTGTACAAAATAACCTATAGTAACCTCTAGGATAATCACAGCCATTAAACTTCATAGCCACAAACTAGAGACCTTGCACTTTCAGCGGATGTTTGGCTTTCATAGGTATATTCACAATAACAGGGTTTGTCAGCAGTTTCCAGAACAGAAGTGCTTGTCATCCAATTGCCAAAAAATGCAGGTCTTACAGATATCTCCAAATGTCAAAAGATGGATTTTACTGTGGTGTTCGTCAAGATCAGTTCTGAAGGAGAAAACATACTTAAATTTAGCAACAAATCTGTGTAACAAATTATATTAAACCAAAAATTGCTGTGACAATTTATGAGACATAATACACTCTAAATCTTCAAAATTTCAATAGGCCCTCACCAAAACAAAATGTTTATGACAGTATCAGTCATGACTAGAAAAGCTTGACACAGTGCTGAACTGCATTTCAAAGTAACCTTCAGGGGGTATTCCATCAACATAGCTAAGCTGTCCAGACTAAGGTGTAATCTTGAAGTTTGACTAAACGCCAACTCCCAGTCTAGCTCCAACCCGTTCCATCACGTGAAATCAGCTGGCTCCAACTGACACTAATTCAAGCCTCACCTGTTAAGCCTCAACTCAATCACACACCCAGGGAAAATAAAAAGCCCACACTAGTCGAGTGCCAAACATGTTGCAAAATGTCAAAAAGCAAAGGAAAGGAGTGAGTGGAGGCTTTTTCTGCGGCGGAGCAAATGCTCCTTATGGAAGTGTATGAGGACTATAAGGACATAATTAAGAAAAAAGCAATTAATAAAGCAAGGGAGGTGGCGTGGCAGACTATTGCCGACAGGCTAAATGCGCAAGTGACAAAGAAAATTCAGCATTTCAGCATAATATCATGTTCTATAAATCCCGCATCAAAGGGACAAAATATATGTATCTAAGAACACCTATTAAATCTAACAATTCAAGTATGCCTAATGAAATTCACCAAATGTGTAAATTAATATTAGTGATAGGCTGTTTATCACATTATCTACTGATTCCTATGTACATTTCAGATGATGCATTTAATCAAACTATTTTATGTCAATCATCACATTTATCACATAACTGATTATAGATTATGACATTTCCAAAATGATCAGTTCATAGGAAATAATCACATGACATTTATCTATTGATTGTAGAAAATGACATTTAGCAAATCCATCAATTCAGTGGAGATGAGGAAACCTATTAAGTGAATGCAGGTGATAGTGAATCAATTATCTATTTCTCATCATTTGGGAGTCAATTGTAAGCTCTGTCCCTTATTATATCAAAATAAGGAAAACCCAAAACCCCCTTAAATTAATGGAATGGGCTATAGGATGAGGAACAGACAGACCACAATGGTGTGTGTCCCCATTTCATCCCTCACTGTTTTTACCTCTCTGCAAACAGCTGCCTTACTTAGCCTCTCAGCATCACCAACACTATACAGGAATGTACCGCTAGCAAAGAACCTCAGTGCAATACAGACTGACTGCACAGTGGTCAGAGACTGGCTGCAGCATGTGACCTTTATAATGTGTGGTTCCAGCAAACTGCATAGATACACTAGATAGGAGACAGGACAGATAGGAGTCCGTCTGTATCAATGGGTTGGTCCTGTCCTGGAAGACCCTTAGGGCTGGTGGTGGTTGGAAGGCCCTCTGGACAATGTGGGCCTCCTCATCAACAGGATCCTCAATTAAGGGGCATGCCATTATTTCCTAATTTACTCTCTCTTGCTCTGTCTCTGTGTCTCTCCGGGTGTGTCCCTCTCCTTCTCTTGGATGCACTCCTTAAATGGCCGTTGTCAGCTGACGTTAATTGACTGTGAATTTGCTAGCCAATTGGAAACAGAGTGGGTGGGGATGGGAGGGCAATCACATATTCATGTGGTTTGGTGTACATATACAATCTTTTTTAATGCCTCAGTTTCATTTTATTACCTCTGCCAAGGAGGTAATGTTTTCGCCAGCGTTGGTCTGTTTGTCTGTTTGTCTACAAAATAACTCAAAAAGTTATGAACGGATTTTGATGAAATTTTCAGGAAAGGTGGATAATGGGACAAGGAACATATGATAAAATTTTGGTGGTGATTGGTTGAAGCAAAGTGGATAAAATAATAAAATAGCGCTAAATGGCACTGTGTATTCACCGAGTTTTAGAATAGACTCATTCCATGACCAGACGTGCGCCACCGGGTGGCAGTGGCGAGTGGGCCTACTTGGGCTCGTTACTAAATATTGTTGTAATTCTAAAGTTGAAATTAATGTTCTGTGTTGGAAAAAAAGAAAGTGAAAAATACAAAAAAAAAAAACATATTCCATGTTGATACAAAATAAAAACAAAATAAATACACCACAGTGTCTCCGTGGTGAAGGCATATATAACCTAATAATGATAGTGATGCAAATAACCTAATTGTGATGCAGGCTGCAAAATCTGATGCAGAGGGGAAGGGAATATCACCTACTTGGCAGAGGTCTGCACTCTCTGAGTGCTTTTCTAGTTATAGTTTTGTTTTTATTAGTTTGATTTTGACTTTATTGTTGTAAGTGTTTTTTTTAATTATCTTATTTTTATTACATTTTAATTTGTTTTTTAATAGTTA